ATTTTCTTTTTTATTGTTAAATGATTTTTTTTGAAAGTCATTTGAATAAAGAAATACTTTACTATTGAAAATATACCTTCTCTGCTAAGCTTTTCATTTAGTAGTTCATAAAACCCTAAGTATTTCCAGGTATATTTTCACTGGAACAGGATCAAGCAAATATTCTAAGCAGCAGCATGTTTGAAATAGCTCTACTTTTCTTTCAGCGTTGAGCTAACCTCCCACGCTGTAATTTATTCCAATATATGTTTCTTTATATCTGAGGCAATGTTTTCTAAGTGTTTTCTATTTTCTTATGAATGTATAATACTTTGTAGCTGTGTTTTCTGGTTATTTTAAAATTTGTTTTTATTTATGTGTGTAGGTCTATTAGTATCACTATTATTTTAAAAAACTTTTCCAGAAATACCTTTAATCTTAATACTTGAGAGGCTGAGTCAGGAGAATCCCAAATTTGAGGCTAGTCTGGTTACACAGAGTTCAAGGCCAATTTGGGCTACATGACATAGACTATGTATCCAGAGGAAAAGAAAAAAGAAAACAATAAGGACAGCAACCCAACCTTCTCCAGAGACAATCAATGTTTCCCCAGTGACACATTGCTTTTATTCTTTCTGACTACTCTTCCTTTTTGTTACTAGGAATGAAACTCAGGACTTCATACATACCAGAAAAGTGTTGTGCTGCTGAGCTATGTCCTTGGCTCAACTTCTGTTCTTTTAGTATTAAATAAGAAAGCTCAGGGCTGGCGAGATAGCTCAGCAGACTAGAGCAACTGCTTAGGCAGGCTCAGGGACTGCAGTTCGATTGATCCTCTGTACCATATGCCACGCCAGCTCTACCCCCAGGGTGAGCTGAGCCAGCCAGAGTCTGGGCATACTGCACTCATGTAATCCCAGCATTGAGGAGGCTGAAAGCAGGAGGATTCCGATGAGTCTGAGCTGCATAGTGCGACCCTGTAACTACCAATACATTAAAAAAGAAAGAACGAAACCTCAGCTTGGCTCGGCCAGGCATATTTGTAATCCTAGAGTTCTAGGAGGCAGAGGCAGAAGGACTACAAGTTCAAACAGTTTGGGCAATTTAATGACAGTGAGACCCCGTTTCAAAATGAAAAATAAAACTAGGACTTGAGATGTTGCTCAGGGTAAATGCCCTGGCTATAATCCCTGGATAGTGAAAAAAAAAAAAAAAAAAAAAAAAAAAAAAAAAAAAAAAAAAAAACCAGAAAGAAAGAAAGAAAGAAAGAAAGAAAGAAAGAAAGAAATGTTCAGAGTTTCAGGGCCGAGGATGCAGGGAAGTTGGCTGGGTTGGAGGTGGGGGGACCAGTTAGTGACCCATAAGGTGATAGCTTAGGCCGAATCTCTGCAGTGATACAGACAGGAGGGCTTGGGATCAGCAATTTCAAGGGCTGGAAGGTAGAATGCACCTCACATACAGTGATGGATTTGAAGAAAAGAAGTATCTTTTGCTTTTCTCTTCTCTCTCTCTCTCTCTCTCTCTCTCTCTCTCTCTCTCTTTCTTCCTTTCTTTGTCTTGTATACTGGGGATTGAACGCAAGCACCTTCACATTGACCTATACTTCCAGCTGCTGGTTCTCTTTTGAGACAGGGTCTATGTTGTTCATACTGGCCTTAAACTCACTCTATATCCCAGACTGGTCTGAACCTCCTCTCTAAGCCTCTTGGGTGCTGGGACTATAGGAGTATGAACGTCTTCAGCACTATTTATTTATTTATTCATCTTGCTAACCTGAGTTGATAAACTGCCCAGGCTGGACTTGAACTTGTGATCCTCCTGCCTTGGCCTCTCAGAACACTGGGACTTGAGCTGTACAGCACGACCTCCAGCTAGTTAAGTGCCATTTTTGGGGTAGTCACAGAGAAGATGGATCCTGTTGTTTGAGGGCCTTCAACTGACGTACCTAAAATGAATTGGGTTATGTCTGAATATATCAGAGAGTGAGTGAGGTTGGGAGGAAGTTGACCCACACAGCTCTGGTAACGGGCCTGTGATGTGAAGGGAATCCTGGAAATGGGCTGGGACTTCAAGTTGGTCTCTACTGAGCAGAAGGACTAGCCAGTTGTTGGCTTCCCCTTGGGAAGAGGTGAATCTTAGAAGAAGAATTCATAGGAGTTGTCAGAGACAGCAGCCAGGGCAGTGTGCAGTGGGGGACTCAGGTGTGAAGGGCCAGCAGGAAGAATTTGCTGCAGCTAGGAGTAGGAGCAGATGTCATCTACATTGTGCACTGTAGCAGCAAAAGAGTACATGATTAATTGGGGGTATTTACTCCCTGGTGCCTGAGGGTTTCAGTAGCTCATGTCAGCTATGGGGATATCCAGCATTGTGCTGACCAGGAGGACAAAGATGGCTAAGATGAAGACCACATGTAGAGTCCACCCTGCAGGGGATCTTGGATCCCTTCTCAGGAGGACCTGAGCCCCAAGGCCTGTGTGTTCCCTTTTCTTTCTGGAAAGCCCTCTGACGATTAAGCCACTTTTCCTTTTCTCAGACACCTGCTGGATGCCTGTTCTTTCTTCTTTCCTCTTGGATTTAGAGAGTTAGGAAACAAATCCAAACACAAGTACTTTTGAAAAGAGACCCAGGTGCAATGTGAAAGTTAACAAGGGCTAAGAAATCTTAGAAAGCTCTGCACAGAGTCCTTTGGGCCACAGTTTCAGAAGAGGATTCTTTGCTGCAATCTATCTGAGACCCTGGACTTGTGGCTCCCTTTCCATTTCTGACCGTTCAGCTCTAGAAGCTATCCATTTTCTTTTGTCCACACCCTTCTGTTTCTTTGTGCAAGGCCAGTTCTCCAAGCCTTAGCATTTAGGCCTAAAGAGACAGCAGGGGGTAAGAATTAATGGATCTAGCTAGTAGCGAGGACCTAGGAAGTCATTCAAGTATCTAGAGGCCTCCTAAATAATGCCTGACTCTGAGCCCAGCCCCCACCTCTTCAGGTCTCCCAGTGAAAGGCTTTTGCAGGGGTTTCCAAATTGAGGCTCAGAAAGGGGAGGTGGTTTTGCTCTAGGAAGTCTGCTTATGAAATGCTAACAAAGGGTAAGGCAAATCCTTTCCTCAGTCTATGTCTGGCACCGCTAGTAATTTAAACCTGGTCATGATTTATTTCAAGGATATGTTTTTTGAAAATAAATTATATATCAATAGCTGGATGTTCCTAAAAAGAAATAATTTTTTTCTCTTTTCCCTTCCCTGGCCACTCTGCTACAGATCTTAAAATTATTACTCTAGGGTCAAACATTGTAACAATTTATTTAAAGACAAGCTGACACATTTAACACCATAAACGCTCTGTAAACACCTAGGCCTATCATGGTTTTGAGCTCAAAAATGTGCCGCTGAGGTCTGGCTTAGAAGTAGTTTGCAAGGCCTTTGATGACGAGATAAAGACAAGGCTTTTCTTTCTCTCCCTCCTGGAACACACCTTTTGTGTGCTATGCTAACAAAGGAATCTCCCAGTTTCATAGTGGAATTTGGAGGGAAAGCACGATGGCTGCGTGCTTCTGCAGAGCCTGCTTCCAACCACAAAAGATTAAAAAAAAAAAAAAAATGCTGGGGTTTTGCAATACACTGATTGGAGGAAAAAACCAAGACACCGAGGGCAATAAAAATAGCAATAACAAAATCCCAAAGGATTTGGAATTCCTTCAGTTTCTTTTTGGCTTGAGAATCCTGATTTCTTTGTTCTGCCCTTCCTCATTTACTGTACTGTTAATAGTTTCATGTCAGTCTTATAGTCAAATTACCATTGTATCATGCTCAAAGCAGAGCAGTGCAAAAGGTAGCTTTTACATATGCAGAATGATAGAATGAACCTTTTGGCATTGAGTTTTTGGAAGAGGGTAGTGTCCTTAAAAAAAAAAATAGAAATAAAAGCTTTCTCAGCTGTGAAATTCAACGATTTCGTAAAATGGGCTAAGGGTAGGTGCTTTCCTTTGAAGTACTGGTCTATCTGGCAAAGGAGTTTCTCTGAACTCTTTGCAAAAACAGAACTGAGATAATTTGTTAGAAATTATTGTCTTTTTGGTTGTTAATGGTATTTGAAGGCAGAAGATGTAATATTATCTGTTGCCGTTTGTGCAAATGATGAATTATGCTTTTAAATCAGAATTAGCCGGCTTGACCAACGCATTGGGTTTGCATAGAGCCTGGCTCAGAGGGCATTATGAAACCACACGAAGCAGTTGTAGAGTGAAGACTCCTATGGTAAACAACTCAGACTTTGGTTTGGGGAGTACAACTCTTGTAACCATTCAAATGCTGCTCTGTGGTGCTTTCAGCTCCAAGAGGCCCATGGGGGAGGGGCAAGAGAGCATGCTAAGTAAACAAAGACTCCAAATCTATGAAACCTAGGATTTGCTATGGTGTGTATACTATGAAACACCATAGATTAGAGCCACCGTGGAGCAAGATTTCAGATCATCAGGTTCTGAGATGCATGTATTTTTTTTAACATGCATATTAATAAAGGCCCACCTTTGGGTGAATAAAAAAGGCTTCCTTTCAAATGAAAACAAGCCCAGGTAAAGCTGAAACTCAACAGAGTCCTGGCATTGTTTTCAGGCTAAAAGAAGATGAGAGTTTCAATTTCCTCATCTTGTAACACTGATAAATGTCTTGCTGTGGCCAGCAAAATTCGCGGATTACATAGGTCTTTCTAAAGGCGTGGAAGATGTAGAGAGGCACTCCACAATTTATGTGCAACTCCAGTTTCCTGTTTGACATTAAAAACTCTTCTGAGACAATAATTCCAATCATTTGTATGACAAGTATTAGAGTCCCCTCCAAAAAAACCTACTTGATAGCTGCATCATGTGATGCCCCTGTAACAGAGAACAATGGCTTCCTCAGTGGACGTTAATGCAAGAGACAAGACTGAGATTTTATTTTAAACTTTACTACATACTCTCCAGACATTAACTAATCAATCTACTTTAGAATAAAACACACAGGAACGCTTTCTTTGCTGGGTTGTCACTGCAACTCCCCTGGTAGTAGTGTCTTCAGGGTTGAATTAAACAAGAGTGTGTCTTTCTTTAAAGAGATAATGGTAACCTTTTTTTTTTTTTTTTTTTACAGATCTTTCCATTTTGTCCTATTTCCAGTGTTAGTGCAACGAGCTTAACATGGAGGTTTCTCTGTCGTTTTAAAAACCTTCCAATGGCGTGCATGTCTGGGAATATAGGAAGCAGGGACATGGGGCGCTGGAAAACAGCCTACTTTATCTGGAGTGGAAATACATTGTCTTACTCTGGGATGGGTTAGGATTACCCCCCTTCGTGGCCTTTGACAGGTTTATGTATGTATCTTCTTGTGTTCTGTAAGATATGCCCACCTTCTGTATGTACAATAGATGCTTGTTCCATTTACCATCTCCCTTCTAGAATTTAAAGACCCAGCTATTACATCTTGTTTACTCAATATCATTCCAGTTAAAGAAAAAACCCTACATGAACAGAACATGCCATGTTTCAATCTGGCCCCACTGGCTTTTTCTCTGAACGCAAAACGTGTGTCTTTTACACCAGGGCTTTCTCCCCACCCCAGGGGGTGTCTTCCATTCTTTTGTGGCTCAGTTTAAGGCGAAAAGGGCTCCAAACCACTAACTAACCGGAGGAGAGCCCCTTCTTCCACCTCCAGGGAGAATTTCAGATTTAATTCCTCTGAAGATAGCCTGCTCTCTTTCACTTATTTTGCCACCATTACGAGGAGAACAGAACACCACCCTGGCTTCAAGATCCTGCCTGGGTACAGGCTCACGGTCTTTCTCAACCATCCTTGGCGAGGCCTTGCTTCCTTCCATTCGAGTAAGTTGCGGCTGGGGGCCATGGAACAGGACTGGGTGAGAGTCTGAAATGTCGTTTGAAAAAAAGGCAAGCCGCCTCCCTCGTCCCCTCAGCACCACCACCACCCCGGCTCCGCGATCCGGGCGAGGCTGCAGCCGGCGGCCCGGCGGGGCGAGGCGCGGCGGGGCTGCGGGCG